AGGAGGGGTCAGAGCTCCTGGGGCCCCTCCTCGTGCTCTTGGTCTTTAAATCGTGTCTGGCTTTGCAGGAGGGACTGTCCTGACACCTTGTAGCAGTGTCAGGGCTGGTGGCAGTGTCCCAGTGTCAGGGCTGGTGGCCCTGTCCCAGTGTCAGGGGTGGTGGCCCTGTCCCAGTGTCAGGGGTGGTGGCCTGTCCCAGAGGGGCTGGTGGCCCTGTCCCAGTGTCAGGGCTGGTGGCTGTGTCCCAGGGGGCTGGTGGCCCTGTCCCAGAGGGGCTGGTAGCCCTGTCCCAGTGTCAGGGCTGGTGGCCCTGTCCCAGGGGCTGGTGGCCGTGCCTGGAGCAGCCCCTGTCCTCCTGGCCCCACTGACCAGTGGCTGTGTGACCACAGGACTGTCCCCCGGGCTCGCAGGATTTCCGAGAGCTGCAGTGCGCCGAGTTTGACAACGTGCCCTTCCGAGGGAAGTACTACACCTGGAAAACCTACCGGGGAGGTGAGTCTGGGGCAGGGGCTGCTGGGGGCTGCTGGCCCAAAGGCTCTGGGGACGTTTGGTCAGGATTTCTGCAGCTCTGGTGCCGCAGGTTGGCCTCTCTGAGCTCCTGATTTGTGCTGCCTCCCCTCTGGTGCCAGTGCACCCCTCCATGAAGCTGCTGTGCCCCCATCCCGGGTCACCTCCCCCTGTCCCAGCAGCTCTGGGGCAGTTCTTCCCTCCAGGCTGGATCCCGAGCTGCTGAGGGAGCAGAGGAAGGTGGAGAGGAGAAGGGAGAGTCTGGTGGGGAGGAGGCAGAGCAGGCAGGGAAAGCCTCCTGAGCAGGAGAAGGGATGGGATCCGGTGGATCCTTCAAAGAGCAGCACTTCCCCTTTCTGAGGTCAGCCCTGGCTCCTGCAGAGGGGCAGGAGGAGGAGGAGGTGGCAGAAATCTCCTCACAGTGAGGAGGAACAGCTCGTCTCCTTGGTGGAGTTGATGAACTGGGCTGGGAAACCTTTCCCAGCTGTGTAAACAAGCCCAGCTCCCAGCAGGGCTCCTGCAGCTGGAGCAGCTGTGCTGAGGCTGCAGGGGATGCATCAATAAAAACATAATCAAATGGTGAGGCTGGAAAGTCACCCCATGGCCCCCGTGGGTGCCAAGGTGGAAGACAACCCTGCAGCTGGAGCTGGCCTGGCTCAGACCTCTCTCCTCCCCAGGCATGGCCCAGGGCTTGGCTGGCCAGCTCAACACCACCCTTGAGGTGTCACCTCACCCTGATACGGGTTTTTGGCTTTCATAAAGAGCCCCTTCCTCTCCCTGTGCCTCAGCTTCCTCTGCCATAAAACAAGTGATGAAAGCTCTCCCCTCAGGGCTGGCAGTGCTGACAGTGCCGTGTTGTGAAGGGATCTGGGAGCTTCATCTCCCCTTCCCACCTTGGCTGTGGGCAATGGTCATGAGGAGCACTTTTATTTTGTTTATTCAGGGTCAGAGGGAGTCACTGCTGTCCCCTGGGGAGGGACCATGGAGCGGGGAAAGACAAGGGACTGCTTTGCCCAAGTCTGGGCTCTCTGTCAGGACTGGGGAGACCTGCTTTGTGTGCAGCACCTAAAGGGGGCTGAAAAGAAAAACAGAGAATTTTAGCAAGGCCTGGAGGGACAGGACACAGGGAATGGCTTCCAGTGCCAGAGGGCAGGGCTGGATGGGATATTGGGAAGGAATTGTTGGCTGGGAGGGTGGGCAGGCCCTGGCACAGGGTGCCCAGAGCAGCTGGGGCTGCCCCTGGATCCCTGGCAGTGCCCAAGGCCAGGCTGGACGGGGCTTGGAGCAGCCTGGGATAGTGGAAGGTGTCCCTGCCATGGCAGGGGTGGCACTGAGGGGCTTTGAGGTCCCTCCCCACCCAACCCCCTCTGTAACTCCATGATTTCAGCAGCACAAGGACCTTCATCCTCACATGCCTGGGGGGGTTTGTGTTCCTCAGTGGCCTTTGGGTGTCAGAGGCACATCCTGGGGGAACTGGGGACATCCCTTGCACCTCCACCTTCCCCATGTCACAGATCCCACCCTAGGGAGTGACCCCTCCTGCCCTGCCCTGGGCACTGGGGTGGCACTGGGGGCTGCTCCTGTCCTCCTGAGCCCTTCCAGCAGTGCCAGAGCCCTGGGGCATGGGGGGTGTCAGTCCCTCCCTCCCCCTGGCACCAGCAGCCCCCAGGATCCCCCTTTGCTGGCAGCCTCTTCCCTGGGCATTCCTCCTCCAGCTGGCAGGGAATCTGCTCCTCGGCACTTTGGGAGCCCATCACCACCCTGGGCCCTCTCTGAGCCCCTTCCCCTGCCCAGCTCATCCCCAGCTTCCCAAAAACGTGGCTGGGCTCGGGGGAGCCTCTCCCCACCTTTCTTTGGGAAATCTCCTGGGCACGGAGCACCCCCACCCTGCAGACAAGGGGTCCCCACCAGTCCTGAGGGGACTGGGGAAGAGCTTGTCAGGAAAATGAACCCACAAACACCAGGGGTTTCTGTCCAAAAAGGAGACAGAGGAGTGCTTTTAGTTTATTCTAATAAAGGGAGAGGCCATGGGGCATTCCCCTGGGGTCTCTCGATTTTTGGAGGGCACAGCCTCCTTTTTATCCTGATTTCCCAACCACATTTCCCCTCTCTTTCCCCACTGGCTGAGGTATTTGAGAGGCACAGATTTCCTGGAATGCCTGACACCTGAGATCCCCCTCTAATGTATAACCCCAACTCTTAATTTTTAATTTTTATGGAATTTAAGGTGTTATGGTATATCCAATTTCATTTACCAACAAACCTGGTTTTTTTTGTTTGTTTGTAAAGGCAAACATCTTTTTCCATTCATCAATCCGTGGAATCCATCCCATTGTTTCTGTTATCTCTCAGTGCTGCTTTCATCTATCAGCAGCTCCTTTGGAAAGACAAATCCATCATTCCTCTGGAGCTGGACCCCGGTCCCTGGGCTGTGTGTGGGGCTGTTCTGGTGCTCATTCCCAGCGATCCCAGAGAGGGGCATTGAGCTCAGCAGCCTGCAGATACCTCACTGAACGTGGCTTTGTTTGTTTGTTTGCTTTGTTTTGCTCTCTGCGCTCTTCATTTCGCTCTTGGCTGATGAGGGAGCTCGGGGAGAGCGATGGGAGGAGCAGGAGCTTGTGGAAAACAGGAGATTGCTGGTCAGAAATTGTAAAAAGGCTTAATTCCTCCATGGGAGAGGGCAGGCGGGAGGAACAAAACATCCTGAGAGGCAGCAGCCAGCTGAAAATGTTCTGTTTTAACAGCTCTGCTAAACAGGCAAAGGAAAAACGAGGGCAGACCCCAAGTGAGGGGGTCAGAATCTGCAGGACGGTGCCTGGCTGGGGCTTTCACCCCTCTGGGACAGGGACAGGAGCCCAGGAAGGGCTGGAGCTGTGCCAGGGCTTGGGATGGATCTCAGGGCAAGGTTCTTCCCCCCGAGGCTGCTGGCACTGCCCAGGCTCCCCAGGGAATGGGCCCGGCCCCAAGGCTGCCAGAGCTCCAGGAGCGTTTGGACAGCGCTCTCAGGGATGCTCAGGGTGGGCTTGTTGGGGGGGTCTGGGCAGGGCCAGGGGCTGCACTGATCATCCCTGGGGGTCCCTCCCAGCTCAGGATATTCTGGGATTCCAAAACTGTACTTAGCAACATTCCCTGGGCCTGCTCAGATGTCCCACTCATTCTGTGGATGTTCCATGGGTTGCTCCCATCTCCAGGAATTCCAAGGCTCTTTGTGCTGTTCCAGAGGATCTTTCTGTGGTCCAGACTTGCTCTTGCTGTGCTCAGTGCTGCTGTTCTGGGGTCACAGCTGTCACTGGAGCCACCTGAACAAGGACAAGGTGATGCCCAGGGCACCCTTGGCCAGCCAAGGACTCCCCAGTTCCCAGCTGGGCAGCGACTGCAGCCTCCTTTCCTCTGGAAATGGTGACTTGGCTGCCAAGGGCAAATCCTGCCTGGAAATGGTGCCCAGGGAGGATGTGGGGACTGTTGCAGAGCTCAGGTGGCCCAGCCAGCTCGTGCAGCAGTGGCAGTCAGGACATGGGTACCAATGCAGGGTCACCCCTCTCTGCCTCCTCCACTCTTCCTCTCCCTGCTCCTCTTCCATGGGACTTTGAAGGGCAGGAGTCCCCATGGGAAGGCCTTTCCCAAGTGTCCAGTGGGGAGAGCCAGCAGGGATTCATCCCTGATGCCTTATCAGGCTACCCAAAAACAGAGGCCAGGCAAAGTGAAGAGAATAAAAAGCAATTCTATTTATTGAAGGGCCTTCAGGTGCATTTAGGGCAGAGGAAATCCCCCAGGGGCTGCACCCAAAAATGGATGTCAGGGGTTTTCACACTTTTTAAAGTTTGGGCCATTTGCATATTGGGGGTTCATCTTCCAATTCCAGCTTCAGGTAATGAAGTCATTTACCCCAGGTTTTCTCCCCCAGCTCATTTTTGTTTGCACTTGTGGAGCCTGAGGCAGTGAGGTGTCCCAGATTCCCAGGCCTGGAGAGGAATTGTGTCTGACCAAAATGGGAAGACAGTAGCTGACACTGTGTGGAGTTTAGAGCTATACACAGGATTACAAATGTGTGAAAAACATAAAAGCTAAAATCCAAAGGCATCATCCCCCATGGAGCAGTGTGACCATGGGACCCGAGTCCCAGCCCCCTGCCTGGACCCCAAGGGCAGCCTCTGCTCTCAGGGGTGGCTGCTGAGCCCCCCCTGCTCAGCAGCTGCTTCCCAGAGCTTCTCCAGGAGCTTGCCCAGGCATCCTGCTCCAGAAAATGCCTCCAAGCTGCTGAATTCCCCTCTCGTGCCTCCTCCTGTTCCTCCCTCTCCCAGCTTTGCTCTCTCTTCCCCGCAGCTGCACCCGGGTGCTCCCAGGCACAGCTGGGCCCCCCTCCCCTCCCTCTGCCCCTTTGATGTTCTGGATCGAGTTCAGGTTTTGCACATTCCCACTCCTCCCATCCAAGGTGCTTCCCAGCCCTGGCACAGGGATCAGGGCTGTGGGTGCTGCCTCCAGGAGGGAACTGCCACAGCTCAGGGTCTCCTGGGAGCTCAGTAAAGGCAGCAAACGCCACAGGCCAGACCAGGATTGGATAAAATCCAGTGGCAGGAGCCAGGGAATGCTCTGCTGGACCCCAGGCGCTTTATCCAGATATCCAGGTGCTATTCCTGCGGTGCTGCTTTGGCAAAGGCTGTTGGAGAGTATAGGAAATACAGAAATTTAAATTTAAAGATCCTTCTCCTTCATCCTCGTGCTGCTGTCACTTTTGTTGGGAGGGGTTTGGTACCCTCAGCCTCGGACAGAAAGGAGAGATTTCTCTGGCCCAAACTTGGTTGTCCTGCTCTGGCAGCTGAAAAAACCTTGGGAAGGTAACTCAGGAGCTGCTGCCTCAGTTTCCCTGCTGGTATAGTGGGCAGAAGGGTTTTACAACTCATGAAGTGCCAGGAGTTGTAAATATTCCTTCCCAGATAAGAGGAAATCGCTTTGTTTGTCACATCCAGCCCACGTCCCCAGGCTGGCAGTGTCCCCCCAGGGGTCCCTCCTCCAGGGACATCCTCCTGGTTTTCCACATCTTTTCCCTGCTTGGTGGCCCCGTTTGAAGCTGTGCTCCTTCCCCAGGGGGTGTCAAGGCCTGTTCCCTCAACTGCCTGGCCGAGGGCTTCAACTTCTACACGGAGCGGGCGGCGGCCGTGGTGGACGGGACCCCGTGCAGGCAGGACTCGAACGACATCTGTGTCAACGGGGAGTGCAAGGTGGGACAGGGACAGGGACAGAGGGGACAGGGACAGACCCTGGGCAGGGGAGTGAGGCCCTCAAACTCCTCACACAGATGTGTGAGGGGTGGAGGGTTAAGAGAGCTGGGGTGCTCACCTGGAGAAGAGAAGGCTCCAGGGAGGGCTCAGAGCCCCTTGCAGGGCCTAAAGGGGCTCCAGGAGAGCTGGAGAGGGACTGGGGACAAGGCCTGCAGGGACAGGACACAGGGAATGGCTCCCAGTGCCAGAGGGCAGGGCTGGATGGGATATTGGGAAGGAATTGTTGGCTGGGAGGGTGGGCAGGCCCTGGCACAGGGTGCCCAGAGCAGCTGGGGCTGCCCCTGGATCCCTGAGAGTACCCAAGGCCAGGCTGGATGGGGCTTGGAGCAGCCTGGGATGGTGGAAGGTGTCCCTGCCATGGCAGGGGTAGGAATGGGATGGGCTTTGAGGTCCCTTCCAAGCCAGACCATGCTGTGATTCCATGATTTCTCTTCCTGGACACCCACTGGGAGCAGGAACATTCCCACCCAGGGCTTGTGCCCATCCTCTCTGCAGGCATTCCCTGTCTCATGGATGGATCTCTGCCCTCCCAGCCTGTGCAGCTCCAGGCCCTTTGATGCTTCCCTTGGGATCTCGGGGGAGCTGGCAAAGTTCATTGTAAGAAAGCGCTGTGGGAGTGACCAACATCCCCCAGCAGACAGACAGACAGACAGACAGGCCGTGTGTCTGTCTCCCTTCCTGTATCTCCGGGATCTGTGTCCCCACGGGGCTGAACACGCTGTGGAACAGAGGGGGATTGTCCCCGAGGGAGCCACAGCTGCCGGTGGCCCTTGTGCCACTCCACGGGCAGAGGCCACAAGGACACGGGGACAGCAGGGACAGGGTTTGTGCTCCACAGGCATCCCAAGCTCTGCCTATCCCCGGATTGCCAGGAGAGGGGCGGCAGGGGCGGCACTGCTGGGGTGCCCAGGGCAGCGAGGGGACCCCGGGGTGCTGCAGGCCAGGGAAGGGCCCCTCCAGGCTCATTCCTGCTGCTCCTCCCCGCAGCATGTGGGCTGTGACCGGGTGCTGGGCTCCGACTCCAAGGAGGACAAGTGCCGGGTGTGTGGGGGAGACGGCAGCTCCTGCGAGACCATCGAGGGCATCTTCAACCACTCCCTGCCCGAGGGAGGTAGGGAACAACCGGCCTGGTCACCCTCAAATCCCTCCTCCACCTCACCCGGCCCTGGGGACAGGCAGGGACAAATCCCAGAGTGACATCCCAAGGGGCAGGAGCAGGCTAGAGGGGAACAAATCCCTCCTGTCCACCAGCCCAGCCATGCCCCAGCCCCAAATCTCTGACACAGAGCTCCAGGCTCCTTCCCTGCTCCCCAGCCCATGCTGCCCCTGAGCCAGGGCTGATCCCAGCCAGTCCCACAGTGCAAAGCCACTCCACTCTGGTGCCCAAAATGCTATTTCCATCATTTCCCATGCACAAGGGGTTGGCTCACACTCCCAGCCCAGGGCAGGGCTGGCTCTGGGACTGGAGGATGAAAGTCCCACTCACCTGGCTGTCCCACAGGGTACGAGGAGGTGATCCAGATCCCCAAGGGTTCCGTCCACATCGACATCCGGGAGCTGAACCTCTCCATCAACTACCTGGGTGAGACAGGGATGCTGAAATCCCGGCCAGGCCCTGCTTCTCCCTGGGATTACCGGGCTCTGGGAAAGGCCTGGCAAGGAGAACTTCCCACTGCAGCTGGGAACGGGCTGGGGGGTCCCAGGCTGGGATTTGTGGGCAGCGTGGGCCGTGTCCCCGTGTCCCCACTGTTGCTGTGTGCCTCTGCCCTGTGTTGGCATCACAACCCTGCATACACCCCACATCCCACAGTTCCTGGCACTGCCTGTGGCTCCCTGCCATTCCCCTCTGCCACCCTGGGGATTAAAAACGCTCACATTTTCCTCAGGCTTGGTTTTCCATCCTCAGTCCCGCTTTCACAGCAGGGATTTTCTTTCCCCTTTCTCCTCCCTGTCCTCCGAGCAATGCAGGGCAGGGTGCAGGAGCCAGCAGGACTCTCCTGGCAGCATCCCTCCGGTCCAGCTCCCATTGCTGGGATCCGGGGTGCTGCCATCCCTCCCTGCCCGCTGCGTGGGGGCTCCTCGAGTCTGAGGATCCCGCTCTGCCCCTTTGGGATCTCCCCTGGCATCCCAGATGGAGGGAGCATCCTCCAGCCTGTCCCGGTGCCGAGCTGGGGCCAGCGAGGGAACGCGGCAGGGAAGGAGCGAGCGGCCCGATCCCCCTCTAGCGACTCTGCCGGGCAACCACAGCCCGGCTCCGGGCCCAGCAGCTCCGGCAGCCCCGGGCCAGCCCGCACAGCCGGCTGTGAGCCCCGGGCCAGCCCGGCTTTGAGCCCGGCCCCCGCCCAGCTCAGCTCCCCGCAGCCCCAGGGAGGTGCTGGGCAGGCTGAGAGCACCGTGGGCACCCTGGTCCCACCCTGCTGGTGGCTCCGTGTGACCCTGAGCCCTCCTGTGGGACAGGGACATTTACCCTGTCCTGGCCGTGCTCTGAGCCCGGCAGGTGAGGAGAACCTGGCTGAAGTGGGCCCAGGTGCTCGAGGCTTTGTGCTGAGCCCCCTCCCCTGTCCTGGCAGCGCTGCGAGGGGAGAGTGGTGAATATTTCATCAACGGGAAGCTCTCCATCGATCCCCCCCGGCGCTTCGACATCGCCGGCACCACCTTCCACTACAGGAGGTCCCCTGAGGAGCCCGAGTCCCTGGAGGCTTTGGGACCCACCAACATCACCCTCTTTGTCATGGTTGGTAACTTCATCCTGGTGTGGTCCTTGCCGTGCCTAGGTGGGGACTGGAGCTGATCAGCCCCTGGTGTGGCTGGCAGGAGTAAAGGGACACAGAGGCCACAGGTAAATTGGGCTAAATTCACACAATCAAGCACAGAATTAATTAGGTTGAAAAAGCCCTTAGAGACCATCGAGTCCAGCCTGTGAGCTGACACCGCCTTGTCAGCCAGACCATGGCACCAAGGGCTCCAGCTCTTGAAAGAGTCACCCTAGAGGGGACAGGAGCCCACAGCCAGGCCTTAGGAGGCCAGTGCTTCATCCACTGGGCACTCTCAGATCCCCCTCCCTAATTCCCAGGTCTCCCACACTAACCTGTCACATTTTGGGATGATTCCACCCTTAAGTGCTTGGGAGCTCCATCCCTGATCGAGCACCGCTGTCACCACACGTGGCTGCCCTGGGAGGGGCTGGGAAGGGGGCAGGAGAAGGTTCCAGCTGCCCTGGCTGTTGGAGAGGCTGTGGGATGCCAGCCAGGTGGGCACTGATGTCCCAGGGGTGCCTTTCCCGCAGGTGCTGGTGCGGACGGAGCTGCAGGGGATCCGCTACAAGTTCAACGCTCCCGTGGGCAGGGATGGCTCCAGCCTGTTCTCCTGGCACTACACCCCATGGACCAAGTGCTCCGTGCTGTGTGCAGGGGGTGAGCTCCGCTGCTGGGCTGGTTTGGGGGGACACGTGGGTGTCTCTGTTGGGAACGGCGAGAAGAACGACACAGACTCTCTTGTGAGTTGAACAGGAGAGTGTAAGATTTGTTACCTCAGATCTTTTATAGACCGATACACGAAAGCACAGAAAGGTAAAACTCTTCTTGGTCAGTGAACAAACACATCACCATCACTGGTCAGTGGGGTACACCACCCCCCGGCCTTCTCTTGCAAGAAAACAAGAATCTGACAAACAGCACCTGCAAAGCTGTCTTCTTCTATCTCTGAGGATTGTTTTAATTCCTCCTTATGATTTCCCAGGCCCCTTTCTCAGGCGAGACTGAGAAGTTACATGGCCTGCTTTTCCACAGACACTGTGCTTCATAGTTAGCATCCATAGATGGGACCCCCCTGTGCTGTGTCCAGGGCTCTGGTTGGCTCTGAGGGGCTCTGGGGTCTCTACACGGCCCCACCCCATGCTCAGCCATGTGAGAGTTGTGTCAGGCAGTGCCACAGCAAAGAACCTGGGTGCCAACTTCAGCTGGGCCACAGGAATGGGTGGAAGGGCCTTAAAGATCAAAATTTTTTACCCCTGCCATGGCAGGGACACCTTCCACTGTCCCAGGGTGCTCCAAGCCCTGTCCAGCCTGGCCTCGGACACTGCCAGGGATGGAGCAAGGACAGTCACGTCAGTCTGTGAACTGAAACACACCTGGAGCTGCCCTGAGTCCTTGGGCTGGTTCCCCTGGGATGGCACACAGGTTTGGGCTGTCTCAGGACTTTGGAGAGCCTGGCTGGGAGGGGCTGAGCTGGTATTCAGAGGAGAATTCCCAGTAATGTTCCTTGTTTAAAGCTCAGGGCCCTGCCCTGGTCTGGTGTGCCAGACATTGAATAAGTGTTGTCCTTCCTTGTTCCTGTTATTCCCCAAGTGCTGCCCGGGAAGGCCAGGGTTAGAACAGGTTCACTTGAGCATGAGATCCCTGGAATGCTGTGATCCTCCTTCCTCCGGCGTGTCCTGCCCTGGCTAGTGAGCTCTAGAATCCCAGAATCATCGAGGCTGGAAAACCCTGCAGGGCCACTGAGTCCAACCTGTGCCCGATCCTCACCTTGTCACCCAGAGTGCCACATCCAGACATTGACACCATCATTCCACACCATCCACGTTCTCTGGAGATGTCAGAGAAGCCCTTGGTTCCCAGTGGAGGAATGGGCTCAGGTTCCATGTGCAGGGACAAGTGGCCGCTGTGTCACATCACCCTGTGAGAGCAGAGCTGTGGGGATGGCACCCCCAGCCTGGCTCTGCTCCAGCCTCAGCCTCCTCCTCCCTTTCCCCCTTCCCTCTTTTCCCTGGGCAGGCAGCCAGATCCAGTCTGTGGTGTGCAGGAAACTCTCCGATGGCTCAACCGTCCCCAACCACTTCTGCAGCGCTGACACCAAAGTGCCCGAGCGGCAGAGGAGCTGCAACACCGAGCCCTGTCCCCCGGCGTGAGTACCTGGAGCACGGCCCTGGAGCCAGGGGGGAACCAGGCTGGAAAAGAGTGAAATTCCCCCTGGCTGCCATTGCTGAGTCACAGCCCCCACTGGTGACACTGCCCGGCTGGAGCAGCTCTGCTGGGGAATGGGGCAGGGGTTTCTCCTCTGTGTCCCAGATATCCAGTGAGTCCCTCGGGAATTGCCCAGCCCTGGCTCCTCTCCTGGAGGGGAAGAGCGGATGGGCAGGAGCTCTGTGGTTCAGCCAGGGCTGCCTGGGAGGCTGTGGCTGGAGGGTTGTGTGCAGGAGTGTGGGGACAGGCCCAGCCCAGCGTGCCCCTCCAAGCTCTGCTGTTGACCCATCTCCAGCTGGGCCATTGGGAACTGGTCTGAGTGCAGCCGGAGCTGCAACGAGGGCGTCCGGACCCGCAGCGTCTTCTGCAAGAGGAAGATCTCTGCCAGCGAGGAGAAAACCCTGGATGATGCCTCCTGCACCCAGCCACGGCCAAAGATGCTGGAGCCCTGCAACAACCAAACGTGTCCTCCAGAGTGGGTGGCCCTGGACTGGTCAGAGGTGAGTGCCAGAGGAGGGACACGGAGCTGGGGAAGGCTCTGAGGAGCAGCTGAGGGCACTTGGCTCGTTCCGCTGGAGCAGAGGAGACTGAGGGGAGGCTCCTCGGGGGCTGCAGCTCCTCCCGAGGGGAGGCGGAG